GGAGAGGGGGTGAAGGACTCACTGTTGCTTGCGGGTGAGCTCCTGCTCCTTCTGCACCAGGTCCTGCTTGAGGGAGGCCAACATCTCCACGCTGACATCCACCTGGCGGGACAGTTCGGATGCCCGGTCCTCCAGCTCCTGCTTCTCCCGGCTGAGCCGCAGGCTCTCCTGCTTGGCCTTCTCCAGCTCCGAGCTCTTGCGGTCCAGCTCCACTTGCAGCCGGCCCACCTGCGAGGCAATCTTCTGCTCCACCTCCTCCGTCAGCTTCTCCAGCCGCTTGTCCACCTCCAGCTTCTCAAAGGCGCGGATCTTCAGGCGAGCCAAGCCTTCTTCATAGGCAGCGTCCATAGCAGCTGGCGGCGCGGGGGCCGGCGCCACGGCTTTGCCCCGCGTGAAGATCTCTGTCAGCGGGATCTCGATCTCGTGGACATAGCGGGGTGAGGGGGACGAGGAGGGGGCCGGCTCCAGCTCCTCGGCGGGGACGAGGTCGCAGGAGAAGCGCTGGTCCTTGCCTTGGAAGGAGGTGCTTTCGAAGTAGTCCCGCCGGGCAGCTGGAGTCAGCAGGGCACCGTCGGCGGCCAGGGGGAAGACGGCGGCATCGCAGATGCTGTTGGTCTTGGAGAGGACGTAGAGGGTCTCATAGGTGTGGTTGTACTCCAGGTGCGCCCGCAGCGAGGAGAGGCTGCGGAAGCGCTTGTGCTCCCCGCACCGCGGACACCGGTAAGGCAGGTCCAGCGAGGCCATCCCTCAGCTCCGCACCCCGACACAGGGGAACTGCACGGCCCCGTTCATGGCGCAGGATGGATGGATCGGTGGCACGTGGGATGGGTTGGGGAGCCCCGGGCAGGGGGACTGCAGCGCTGCTGGGGCATGGTGGGGTGGGAGCCCTGGGGTGGGAATGGAGGGTCCGATGAGTCTGGGGGGGATGTCAGCATCGGCTGGTGCCAGGCGCTAGAAGAGATAGGGGGGGTTAGTGGTACAGGGACGGTGGGTCCCCAGAAGTCCCTCCTTGGCCCTTCTTCTTGGTCCCCTCTCTGTCTCCATCCTCCCCTTGGTGTTCCTCCCACTCACGCACAACCCTTGGAAGGGTGCACAATGCTCAAGAAGGTGCACAACCCTTGGGAATGTGCACAACCCTTGGAAAGATCTGAAACCCTTGGGAAGAGTTGCAACCCTTGGGAAGACCCACAACCCTTGGGAAAATCTACAACCCTTGGGAAGATCCACAATTCTTGGGAAGACCCACAACCCTTGAGAAGACCCACAATCCTTGGCACAACCCTTGGGAAGATCCACAACCCTTGGGACGACCCACAACCCTTGGGAAGATCCACAGTCCTTGGCACAACCCTTGGGAAGATCCATGATCCTTGGGAAGACCCACAACTCTTGGGAAGATCCATGATCCTTGGGAAGACCCACAACTCTTGGGAAGATCCATGATCCTTGGGAAGATCTGCAACCCTTGGGAAGATCCACAATCCTTGAGAAGACCCACAACCCTTGGGAAGACCCACAACCCTTGGGAAGACCCACAATCCTTGAGAAGACCCACAACCCTTGGGAAGACCCACAACCCTTGGGAAGACCCACAATCCTTGGGAAGACCCACAACCCTTGGGAAGACCCACAATCCTTGAGAAGACCCACAATCCTTGAGAAGACCCACAACCCTTGAGAAGACCCACAATCCTTGGCACAACCCTTGGGAAGATCCATGATCCTTGGGAAGACCCACAACTCTTGGGTCTTTACCCTTGTAAAGTTGTGCAACCGCTGGGAAGATCCATCACTGTTGGGCAGGTCCCTCACAACCTTGTGAAGGTGCACAACCGTTGGGAAGGTTCACAACCATTTGGGAGGAGTACAGCCATCAGGAAGGCGGACAACCCATGGGAAATCTCTCTCCATCCGACCTGATCTTGCCACAGAGGGGTGACCCATGTGCTTCCCTGCCCAACCACCACACAGTGAGCCCCTGAAGTGCCAGGGGTCTCCAGGCTCCAGGAGCATCCCTGTGGATGATGCTGGGGCTGGGAGCCACCTTCTCCAAGCAGAGGGTGACCCAGTCCTGCCCAACCAGCCCGTGCAGCCTCACAGCAGGATTAGTTACTTCTCCAGCCCCTCAGTGGTTCTCATCCGGGCCCCCTCTGGGGTTGTGGGACCCCCGTGCTATGTTGTCCTAGTGACACAGAGGACCTGGTGGCTTCCCACGCCCAGGCAAGTGAGAGTCCCTGTGGCGACCTGCTTCATCCCCCATTTATAAAACTCTCCAAGACGTCAGGGTGGGGGGAAAAACCCCGCCCTTGTGAAGCCAGCAAAAATCCAGCCTAGGAGCTCACCATGGTCTCCTCCAGCCTGGGAGGCACAAGCACCCACTGGGGTGCATTTTTGTGGTGTTTTCACCCCAAAGCACTGAGGGCACCCATGGGTGGGAGCATCCCTTGCTGGTCACTCTGCAATATCTGACAAAGGGCCTTTCCCACCACCCTAAAACCCCTCTGAGCCCCTCTGCACCCCATAACTGCCCCCCTTGGCGAGCACTAAGCCACCACCAAACCCTGTTTGTCCCCAGGGTGGCATCCCCTACTGCTCAGCACCCAACTCCGAGGGCACAAACGAGCCACGAGGTTCAGGAAACCATTTTTTTTTTTTTTAGGGAAAAATCAGTAAAGGCAAGAAATCTATGCAAAAAAATAAAAATAAGACGTGCTGGGAGGCTTTCTGGCTGTGTTTTAGGGTCGCTACAAAACGCAACCCTTGCACGTTAACCCCTCCTGGGTGACCACCGGTGCCAGCCCGGCCGAAACCCGGCGAACACAAAGCACCACCGGCAACTTTGGTCGCTGCTGATGGGATGAGAAAGCGCTTTTCCGCCGTAGGGATGGGGCCACAGCATCGTGCCACCGATATCTCGGGCCTGGATCCCTGCCCGCGTCTCCCGGGGTACCCGATCAGCCTGGCTCTGTGTTTCCCAGCCGTAAGCCAAGGCAGGATCTGGCCCAGGCGGGTTTGAACGCCCACATCGCCCGGTCCCTGTCCTGGGCAGGTCCTATCCTGACCACAAAACCTCTCCTCCCTCGCACCCCCTTCGATAACAACCAGGTTTTAAGAGAATTATTAGTGGAGTCATTACTAAAGCCCACAGGCATCCGGAGCCGGGAAACGCTCCTGGCTGTCGGGGGATTGCAGCAAAGAGCAAAACCCATCCCTGGGCTGCTTCGGTGCCGCTACCTGCGTTTCATCATGGATCCTTTCTTCGCATTGTTTAACATTTTTCCTGCCCGCCACCCCCCTCCCTGGAAAAAAAAAAAAAAAA